GAAAACTACAGACCAATGTCTCATGAACGTAGATGCAAAAATCCTCAAAAAATATTAGAAAATCAAATCCAACAATGTATAAAAAGAATTACACTCCACAATCAAGTGGGATTTATCTCAGATATGCAAGACTCATTCAACATTCAAAAATCAATTAATGTAATCCATCACATAAACAGACTAAAAAAGAAAACTCACATAATCATATCAATAGATGCACAAAAAGCATCTCACAAAATCCAACATCCATTCATGATAAAAACGCTCAATAAACTAGCACTAGAGGGAACTTTCTCAACTTGATAAAGACTATCTACAAAAACCTACAGCTAACATCAAACTTAATGATAAGAAACTCAAAGCTTTCCCACTAAGATTAGGTACAAGGCAAGGATGCCCCCTCTTACCACTCCTTTTCTTTTTTTTTTTTTTTTTGTGAGGAAGATTAGCCCTGAGCTAACATCTGATGCCAATCCTCCTCTTTTTGCTGAGGAATATCCATGCCCATCTTCCTCTAATTTATATGGGATGCAGCCACAGCATGGCTTGACAAGCAGTGTGTCAGTGCGCGCCCAGGATCTGAACCTGCAAACCCCGGGCCACCGAAGCAGAGCGCGTGCACCTAACCGCTACACCACCAGGCCGGCTCCTCATCACTCCTTTTCAACAACATACTGGAAGTCATTGATGATGCAGTAAGACAAGAAAAGGAAATTAAAGGTACACAGATTAGGAAGAAAGATGTAAAACTGTCTTTGTTTGCAGATGACATGATCATCTACGTAGAAAATCTGAAAGAACTGACCAAAAAACTCCTGGAACTAATAAGCAATTATAGCAAGATTGCAGGATACAAGGTTAATATACAAAAGTCAATTGTTTTCCTATATACTAACAATAAACAAGTGGAATTTGAAATTAAAAACAATATCGTTTACATTAGCACCCAAGAAAATGAAATACTTAAGTATAAATCTAACAAAAAACATATAAGATCTATATGAGGAAAACTACAAAACTCCAATGAACAAAATCAAAAAAGAATGAAATAAGTGGAGAGATAGTGGGCTGGCCCGGTGGCTTAGCGGTTAAGTACGCGCGCTCCGCTACTGGCGGCCGGGTTCGGATCCCAGGCGTGCACCGACGCACTGCTTCTCCAGCCATGCTGAGGATGCATCCCACAAACAGCAACTAGAAGGATGTGCAACTATGACATACAACTATCTACTGGGGCTTTGGAGAAGGAAAAAAAGGAGGAGGATTAGCAATAGATGTTAGCTCAGAGCCGGTCTTCCTCAGCAAAAAGAGGAGGATTAGCACGGATGTTAGCTCAGGGCTGATCTCCCTCACAAAAAAAAAAAAAAAAAAAAAGGCGAGATAGTCCACGTTCATGGATAGGAAGACTCAATATTGTCAGGATGTTAGTTCTTCCCAACTTGATCTACAGATTCAATGCAATCTCAATCAAAATCCCAGCAAGTTATTTTGTGAATATCAACACAATGATGTTAAGTTTATATGGAGAGGCAAAAGACCCCAAATAGCCAACATAATACTGAAGGAGAACAAAGTTGCAGGACTGACACTACCCAACTTCAAGACTTTCTATAAAGCTACAGTAATCAAGACAGTGTGGTATTGGTGAAAAGAAGAGACAAATATATAAATGAAACAGAATAGAGAGCTCAGAAATAGACCCACATAAATATACTCAACTGATTTCTGACAAAGGAGCAAAGGCAATACAATGGAGCAAAGAGAGTTGTTTCAACAAATGGTGCTGGAACAACTGGACATCCACGTGCAGAAAAATGAATCTAGATACAGACCTTACACCCTTCACAAAAAATGGATCATAGACCTAAACGTAAAATGCAAAACTATAAATATCCTAGAAGATAAAATAGGAGAAAACCTACATGACTTGGGTATCGTGATGCCTTTTTAAATACAATACCAAAGACATGCTCTATGAAAAAGTAACTGGTAAGCTGGACTTCCTTAAAATTAAAAATTTTTGCTCTGCAAAAGACAAATCAAGAGACTAGACAACAAGCCATAGACTGGGAAAAAGTATCTGCAAAAGACACACGTAATAAAGGACTGTTATACAAAATATACAAAAAACTCTTAAAACTCAGTAATAAGAAAACAAACAACACAATTAAAACATGGCCAAAAACCGTAACAGACACCTCACCAAAGAAGATATAGAAATGGCAAATAATAATATGAAAAATGCTTCACGGGGCTGGCCCCGTGGCATAGCGGTTAAGTGCGCACATTCTGCTCCTGGCGGCCCAGGTTCGGATCCTGGGTGCGCACTGATGCACCATGTCGCTCATCAGGCCATGCTGTGGCGGCATCCCACATAAAGTGGAGGAAGATCGGTGCGGATGTTAGCTCAGGGCCAGTCTTCCTCAGCAAAAAGAGGAGGATTGGCACGGATATTAGCTCAGGGCTGATCTTCCTCACAAAAAAAAAAAAAAAGCTTCACATTGTATGTCATCAGGGAAATGCAAATTAAAACCACAATGAGATACCACTCCACACCTATTAGAATGGCCAAAATCTGGAAGAGTGACAACATGAAATGCTGGTGAGGATGTAGAGCAGCAGGAATTCTCATTCACTGCTGGTGCAAAGACAGTTTGGTGATTTCTTACAAAACTAAACATAGTCTTACCATATGATCCAGCAATCATGCTCCTTGGTATTTACCCAAAGGAGGTGAAAACTTATGTCCACATAAAACCTGCACACAGATGTTTATAGCAGTTTTATTCATAATTGCCAAAACTTGGAAGCAATCAAGATATCCTTCAATAGGTGCATGGATAAATAAACTGTGGTACATTCAGGCAATAAAAAATTATTCAACACTAAAAAAAATTAGCTATTAAGCCATGAAAAGATATGGAGAAAAAAAAAGATGGAGGAAACTTAAATGCATATTACTAAGTGAAAGAAACCAATCTGAGAAGGTTATATACTGTATGATTCCAACTATATGGAATTTTGGAAAAGGCAGAACTATGGAGGCAATAAAAGATCAGTGGCCCCTTGGGGGGCCGGCCCAGTAGCCTAGTGGTTAAGTCCGCGTGCTCTGCTTTGGTGGCCCGGGGTTCGGGAGTTCAGATCCCAGGTGAGGACGTGCACACCGCTTGTCAAGCCATGCTGTGGCACGCATCCCACATATAAAGCTGAGAAAGATGGACACGGATATTAGCCCAGGGCCAATATTCCTCAGCAAAAAGAGGAAGATTGGCAACGGATGTTAGCTCAGGGCTAGTCTTCCTCAACAATAACAAAAAAAGATCAGTGGTTGCCAGAGGTAGGGATGGGAATGAAATAAACAGGCAGAGCACAGAGGATTTTTAGGGCAATGAAAATACTCTGTATGATATAATAATGATAGATATATGTCATTATATGTTTGTCCAAACCCATAGAATGTACAACACCAAGAGTGAACCCTAAGGTAAACCATGCACTTTGGGTGATAATGATGTGTTAGTGTAGATTCATCCTTTGTAAAAAAATGTACCATTCTGAAGAATGATGTTGATAATGGGGGGGGATGGTATGCATGTGTGGGGCAGGAGGTATACGGGAAATCTCTGTACCCTCATCTCAATTTTATTGTAAACTGAAAATGGCTCTAAAAAAATAGTCTTTAAAAAAAAAGACAATGCAATTAAAAAACAGACAAAGGATCTAAATAGATGTCTCTCCAAAGAAAATATACAAATGGCCAATAAGCACATGAAAAGTTGCTCAACATCATTAGTCATTAGGGAAATGCAAATCAAAACCACAAGATACCATTTCACACCCACTAGGATGGGAAGGATCAAAAAGTCAGATAATAAGCGTTGGAAAGGATGTGGAGGAAATGTAACCTTCATACACTGCTGGTGAGAATGTAAAATGGTGCAGCCTTCTGAAAAACAGTTAAGTAGCTCCTCAAAAGGTTAAACACAGAATTACTATATGAGCCAGCAATTCCACTCCTAGGTACATACCCAAGAGAAATGAAAACATATGTTCACACAAAAAACTTGTACATGAGTGTTCATAGCAGCATTATTCATAATAGCCAAAAAGTAGAAACAGCCTAAATGTCCATCCACGGAAGAATGGATAAACAAAATGTGGTATACCCATACCATGGAGTGTTATTCAGCAATAAAAAGAAATGAAGCATTGATACATGCTGCAACACGGAAGAACCTTGAAAACATTATGCTAAGTCAAAGAAGCCAGACACAAAAGGTCTCATATTGTATGACGCCATTTATATGAAATGTCCAGAACAGGTAAATCCATAGAGACAGAAAGTAGATTAGCGGTTGCAGAGGGCTGGAGAGGTGGGAGTTCAGGGGAAATGGGAAGCAATTGCTAACAGGTACTGGGGTTTCTTCTAAAATTGATTGTGGTGATGGTTGTCCAACTCGGTGTATATACTAACAACCACTGAACTGTACATTTTAAATGGGTGAACTGTATGGTATGTGAATTACATCTCAATAAAGCATTTCTTAAAAACAAAAACAAAAACAAACCCACCTCTCATGAGCCCATGCACAACCAGAGGACAGGAATGCAGAGCAAAGCACCTGAGGCAGCCCTGGGGTCCTGGAAAGGGGGCTGGCCCCTTGGGGCAAGAAGCCTCAGCTCTGCAGCCTGGGAGCCTTGTGACCTTAGACAAGGACTCTTCCTGAGCCAGCTTCTGTTTCTGTAAAATGTCAACCATATGACCTACCTCACAGAGTGGAGCAATTAAATTAAACCATGAGCGTGCAAGTGTCTGGCAAAGCATCAGGCACATAACAGGTACTCTATACAAGCTAAAAAAAACCACTGAAGTATGTGAAAGCACCCTGCAAGCAACAAAAGACCTTAACCACTGTAAGGCAGTTTTATAACTTCATATATAAAACTATAACATATATTATCAGAAATAATCCATTTTCAGTTTCTGCTTTCCAAAGACTCACTTGAGCTCAGTGCCCCACTGTTTCAAAGAGAAATTAATGGAATTTGGATGCCCTGGGGCTGGCTGACTTGCAGCTTGTTCTCCCACCAGCTCTCCAGGGACAGTTTCCACTGCTAGGACATTTCTGGCTTTTTCTGCAGAAGCATTTGGTTGTGGGTAAATTAAATCTGAAAGAAAGGCAAACAAACGTCAGTTACTCAAAGGTTCCACACAGAACTTGATGTCTCACATAAAACAGACTTGATATACTATATAAAAATCTATACTATATATATTACAGCATATTTTTAATGTGTACTACAAAAGAATATAATCTGTAGGTGGCTTCAGTGTTCTGCAACCACTTTCATCTAAAGCAGATCCATGTTTCTCAAAAGAAGGTTGTGATATGCTTCAAACCACCAAGTGTTAACAGCGGCGGTCCAGGGAAAGGAGAGGCTAGGGCTCTCCTCCGCTGTCCCGTAGATCGAGAGACCTGGCATAAAGCTGTGATCAAGGTCCACTCACCGGTACTGATATGGAACAATTTCCAGGATAAACTGTTAGGTAAAAAAAAGCAAACTGCAGATCAGATTACACTACACCTCCTTTTCTCTAAGAAAGTGGGGGGCATATACAAATATATACATATTTGCTAATTAGTGCAAACAGTGACACTGAAAAAATAAGTTTGCATATCACAGAATAGTAGTTCAGTAAATTCACAGGCAAATGTACCAATGCTAAAGCATAACCAAATTTCAGACTATAATATCTTTAAAATGTAAGTTTTTGAAATATTTAAGGTTGAAATGATATGATGCCCAGGATTTGCTTCAAATAGAAATATTTTGTTATTTAACAAATAAATAATATTTGCTTCAAATAACATGTCATTTGCTTCAAAATAAAATAAAGTAGGGAGGGGTATCACTGAAACAAGATGGGTCATGAAATAATTGTTGAAATTACCTAATAAACGTGGGGGTGATATTATGTTCTTCTCTCTTTGCATATGTTTAAAATTTCCCATAAAAAACTTACTTTTTTAAAGTTTTGACAAAAATGTATCCAACTACAAATACTCTGTATTCTTCCAAATGATATAAATCCCTCTGAGAATAGGGCATGTTTGCAAACAGAATTTAACATTGCTTCACAATAATCAATTTGATCTACACTTCCCTTTATTAAAGCACCTCTACATTGGCAATATCAAGCATCACTCTTTCTGTGAAAATAAAATCAGAATGGAACTGCTGAATACCGATATCCAAGAAAAAATTACTTGCTAATCAGACAAGCACACGACCTGAGTCACCTAGGACAGGTCTGTGGGAAGGTCACTGAGCGCTGGTGGAAGAAGCACAGCACAGGGCATCCTGGGCCACAGGGGCCCTTGGGAATCAATGTCTCAAAGGAGAACACCTTACGATGGGCTTGCACTTGGCAGGCAGGTCAATAACTGCCTGACCATGGTCAGTGTGAGAAGGGCTCTGAGAACACACCAGAAAAGCATCCTGAGTGCGACATGAAGAAGTGACTGCTGTGTATCTACCACGAGAATCTGGCTCTGGCCAGGAGAGTCAACACCCGGCTTACAGTAGGGTTCTTAGTAGGAAAAGCAAGAGGGTGTTTGGGAGACAGAATAATTATGGGCTTGGTAATGGATTACAAGCTTGAGCCAAGAAGGCCAAAAGTTGCGAAGCACCACAGATTCTCAATTCTTGATTCAAACAACTCTCATGTACTAAGCACTAGGTGCTAAGGGTACAACAACGATGAGACAGAGCTGTTGCTCTTAGATCACATCTAAGAGAGACAAAATAGTAAAACGTCAAGGTACAAGCTAGTGAGGCAGCCCTGGGGTCCCGGAAAGGGGGCTGGCCCCTTGGGGCAAGAAGCCCCAGCTCTGCAGCTGGGAGCCTTGTGACCTTAGAACATCACAGGACGCATCGAGTCCCTGGTATCCACACCCTTCCTCTGAGCCTTAGGGTTCCAGGAGATGCCTGGGGACTATTAGAGGGAGAGGAAGAAGGGGTCTCACCCTCAGATTCAACCACAGCAGTTCCTCTTTTATATACTGGAGTTCCCCTTAAGATTTCATTTGTAAAAGGAGCTCCAATAAACAAAAAAAAAGTTCAAATATCACTAATAGGTCCTCTACCTAGGTTATTTGTCAGCACACGAAAGCCCAGAGCCAGGGCTAAACGCAGTCACCTGCTCCTGTGGTAGACAAACATCACAAGCAGGTGCAGTGACTGTACCTGTCAGAGGTGGCACCCCACATTTGGAGTGCGTGCCTCAGTCAATGGGCGAGGAGGAGGCTTGACCTCCTTTATTCAGAGAAAGAGAAAACTGACACACAGCTTCCCAACGGCTGGGCTTTCGCAGACCCTCAGAGGCAAAGCGCTACAATCCTAAGCCAACCCAGGAAACGAATACAGGCACTGTAAGGAGCTGAGGCCGGCCTCTCCTTCCTGCGCGGCTGGCGGGAAGGTGAGGAGCAGCCCCTCTGCGGGCGCAGACTGTCAAGTGCTCTTGTGTGGCAAAGGCAGTGCCTACAACCAACAAAACCCCAGACCTTGCAGCACCCTCGGCCCACACAGGAAACATTTCCTGAGGAACTTGAGGCCTTGGGGGTGGGGTAGAGAAAAGGGACTGGAGGCCAGGGAGCATGGTGGCGAAACAGACCATTTCTAAAAGTAATCCTGTGACGCGAAAAAGAAGCTATTTCCAAGTTTTGGATATTATTGTTATTTTTGTCTGGTTTTTGTTTTTTAAGAGACCACGTGAGATTTACTTAATTAAAAGCGGAGCTGCTGGCTTCTCCTCAATACATGTCCTAACATTAGCATTCAGGGAACTACCTCAAGAAGGATGCAAACTAGGACACGGCAATATTTCCTCGAGGTCTTCAAGAGGATGGACTGGATCACAAACATGTACTTTATCTTACAGCTTCAGTGGGGAGAGAAAGTCGGGAAGGATTCTGGTGTTTAGACCTTCTCTGTTCTTTTTAAACATTTTCAGCCTAAAAGACAACTCTGAGTGAGTCTTAGACTAGAAGTTTTATATTTCCTAGGTCATGATTCCAGTGCAGCCTCTCAGTTCCAGCGTGGCCTGGGGCCAGTCTCAGCTTCCCAGAGCTCCACGGGCTCTTCCCACTGGACGGCGTTCTAACAGACAGGACCCACACGGGAGGCTCGTCTCACCTCTGCCAGCCTTGGTGCATCTTCCCCCTCCTCTCATGCTGCCTCAGTCAGGCCCAGGCCCTCTGTAGAGAGCAGAGCTGAGTGCTGCAGAGAATTCCCAGGAAACCAAACCCAGGACCAGTGTCGTGCGAGGAAGGACAAAAGGGCACTGGGAAAAGGCTGTTCCCACGCATGTCCAAGACCACTGTGAAAGCGAGCCTGGAAGTCACCGGTGGGAGGGAGCTGGAGGAAGACAGAGTGTGGTTAATCTGAAAAAGCTTTCTTTTCTTTATCAAAGCGAATTTTAATCCAGATCGTGAGCAGCGGTCAGGAGCAGTAGAGATATCTTCCAAGTGAGGGCATAGTGTGCATCTAAGCACCAAAAAGGAGAGGTGGCAAGCCACCCGGTTCTGAGAGGCCCCAGGGCAGGCCAGCACATGTGTCTAGTTAGTTACTTGTCCATCTGCTCTCTCCCATCCCCCACCAAGGACATACATCTTGTGAGAAACGGACCCCAGTCTGATTTCCTAACAGCTGCATACCCAACACCAAGCATAGAGGAGGGACTTAATATGAAGGATTCAATAAGTGGCTAAACGAATAAATAAAAAATGGAAATCCACTAACACAGTACAGCAGGAAGGGCCATCCGAAAGTGGAGGAAATCGAGCAGGAGGCAGGAGGGGCCCCTGCAGTATTTTAATCATCGTCCCTCCTGACTTCCCTCTCTCCTGCCAACTCTGAGAGACCCCCTGAATTAGGGGTAGGAGGTATGCACCCAACTCCATGGGTTCCCTCTCTTCCCATCACACCTCTCTGCTCTCCCAAGATCCGGCTCAGTTCCCCCCACCTCCTCCACAGCAACATCAACCCCTTGCGTTCACCTGCACCGGATCCCACCCAGAGCCAGGCTCAGCATGTCTGCACTGGCACCAAACCCCAGCCTGTTCTGGACAGTCTCCTCTCAGATCTTCTCCAGGAGGTTCCTCCCAGATATCGCTGGAATCTAACCCTGCTCATCATCTCCTTCCGCCCTCCCTCTCATACTCACGCTCCTTGTCACACCGACTTTGGGAATCACAGAACCTTCAAGCCAGAAGGAACCTCATACAGCATCTTGTTCACAGATGGGGAAACAGTGTGCCCAAGGTCTCCTAAGCTTTCTCTACTAGATCATGCTGCCTCTCAGATACAATGCTGGCAATTACCGTGACTTGTACTTTAAAACAACACATGGCATTCTGCAGTATTTTACAAATGGGATCACATAAAAGCACAGCTTCTTTGATCACTTTCCAGGATCGTAACAATAAATGATTACGTGGAACTCCTGTGGCTTTGCCAAGGCCGAGTCTGCATTCCACCCTATGGTTTTCCTTCTGCCAGTTCCAGCACTGCACAGAGAGCACAAACTGCGGGGGGACCCAAGTGAGCCGCCACTTCCCTTCCCCTCCCCCTGCTCCTACAGAGCAGTTACACCGTGTGATGCAGCTGCTTCAGAGGCGGAAATGTGTGGTCAGCCCTCAAACCGACCTCACAAGACCATTTTCTGTAAGAAATACCATCTGTACTCAAACAGGTACTTAGGCACGCTGGCCTCCTGTGATCACGACTGCTTCTGTACTCCTGAACTTTCAAGAAGTCTTAAAAAAACACAAAGTCTTGTTATCCCTGGCTTGGTTGCTTATTAGTTTATGAGGGAAATGAAGTAAACAGAATGTGCTGGACATATATCCTGAAACGAGGCTATGAGCTATTTATGGACGCCTCCTTAGGCTCTGGCTACCTCATTCTCAACAGCTGTGAAGGTCTGTGGACACTTCATCTTATCTTTGCAAACTATTCCTTTGAGTAGAAAGCAAGTCTTGATCTATCCTAACACAGAAGATGATGCAGAGCGGTGTCTGAGGCATGGCATACTTTCAGAAGCCAGGCTGCAGAATGGACGGCAGACAGAGCAGATAAACAGACGACAAAGTCATCCCACTTTCTAATACTTGATTAATTAATATAAAGCTGCAAATTCCAAGCACACAGGTAATAGACTCTTACTCTGAAGACATGAACTCTAGAAGACAAATTCAATGTCAGCAACTACGTGACTGTGCCAGCTATCTATCCAATACTCATTCCAGATCCTCCTTCCTTACAGACTCTGATTTTGATGGTGGCCATATGCTCAACTAAACACTTGCCTCCCCAAACTCCTTTCCAGCTAGGGATGGCCAAGTGACACAGTTTTAGCTAGTGAAGCATAAGCCGAGGTATTCTGGGAAAGCGTTCTCCTTTTTGATATAGGTGCCACCCCCAGGGGCAGCTAGCATGAGTAGGAAAGCTAACACACTAAGTATGGAGAACAGAATGGGTCCCTCAGTGGCACTGGTGAGTAGCTTTGCCAGCCATGAACTGCCTATCATGAGACAAATAAATACCTGTTTGTAAGTCCCTATTAGTCAGATTTCCTGTTAATTGCAGCTGAACATAATCCTAACCAATTCAAAATTATATCATATATATATCTACACTTAACAATGCAGTATGCCATCTCATCCTCATAACAGAACTATGAGGGGGGTGGACAAGGTCGTTGTGAGTACTCCAATCCCATCCAGACAACTGCCTGGGCCTGGGGCCTGGACAGTACTCTCTGCCTTCTCTTTCCCTCAAATCTAATGCCATCTCTGAAGCCTCAGTTCTTCACCATAAATCTCCCAACTTGCCCATTTCTTCTCATCCACTCTGCTACAATCCTAGTCGAGGCTACTATGACTTCCAGCCTGGACCACCACAACAGCCTTCTAACAGGTCTTCCTCCATCTTGTTCTGCCAACAAATGCATTCTCTACCATTTGGTCACGGTTAATTGTCTCAAAATGCACATCTGACCCTATCACTCACCTTGCCTTCGCTTATCTTATAAAGCCCTTCCAGGTCTGGTCCCTGATCATCTATCCAGCTTTCACTTTGTCACTCCTGCCCACCCGTTCTACCTTGGAGCCAGGCACTGGGTCTCTAGCGCCTCCAGGCTTTCCTTGCCCTGCCAGCTCTTAGTTGACCCTCAGGACTCAGCTCAGCTGTTTCCAAGTCCAAGAAGCCTTCTCAAACACCACCAAAACCCTGTGCTCCAACACCCCAAGTGCAGGTAAGTTTCCTGTGCTCACCTCTGGCCCTGTGCTTATCAGACTGCACTGTAGAGGTCTCTTTACCTGTCTGGGTCCCTCACTACACCACACACTCCTCAGGAACATGAACTGTGACTTATTTGTCTTTATATCCCAGGCACCTGGCACAATGCCTAGACTACAAGAATGCCTGGAGTGAAAGACTGAATGAGCAATCTCCATTTTATAGATGAGGAAACTGAAGCTCAAAAAGACAGATGCCGGGCCGGCCCCGTGGCTTGACGGTTAAGTGCGTGCGCTCCACTGCTGGCAGCCCGGGTTCGGACCCCGGGCGCGCACCGTCGCACCGCTTCTCCAGCCATGCTGAGGCCGTGTCCCACATACAGCAACTAGAAGGATGTGAAACTATGATGTACAACTATCTACTGGGGCTTTGGAGGAATAAATAAATAAATAAATAATTAAAAAAAAAGATGACATCGTTTAAAAAAAAAAGAAAGACAGATGCCCAAGACACCAGAGCAGGGGTCAGCAAACTTTTTCTTAAAGGGCCAGATAGTAGCAGATATTTTAGGTTTGTGGACCATATGGTCTCTGTTACAACTATTTAACTCTACCACTATTGTGCAAAAGCAGCCACAGACAATACACAAATGAATGGGTGATGCTTTATTCCAGTAAAACTTCTTTTCCACACGCCATAGTTTGCTACCCTTGTACTAGAGGGAAGATGACTTACTCAGAGTCTGACAAATAGTAAATATCAGAGCCAAGACTTGAACCCAGCCCCTCAGTGCTTCTTCCACCAGACTGAGCTGCCTTCTGAGATATATACTGCCTATCAATGGAAAATGTTAATTCCCGTATCTTTCCCCATATTGACTTTAGGTGCTAGGAGGGTACTGATGGTTGACACCCATTAGACAACAAATAAAAATGTTCCAAACAATTGGGTAACGAGGAGAGAATAGTAGGAAGAGTTTTATTTTTTAATGCAAATCAGAGTGATAAAAACATCAGTCTTCAATTCTAGCTAGAGTTAGCATAGTTAGGCTAAGCTGAGTAGATAACTACAAACATGGCTTCAGAACCATCACAGAGCACTGTCACATACCATAACACATTTTATCTTTTAATCAACTTGTACCTCTGATGATAAAACACAAGGGGCTAAAATATAGCCTGTTCTTCTTGACTTCCTCCTTTAGACTTTTTGACTTCCTGAATAATTAGTCTTGCAAATCGTCCAGTGGTCCTAAGTTTCATTATTTGTTCTTAAAAGCTATCTAAAAATCGTCAGAAGTCTAAAATTACAGTCATTTCTACACATAAAATCTTCAAAGGCACTCCACTGCTCTTAGGATAAAGTCCAGAATCCCAAACCCACATGTCAAGGCTCTCTCCACTCCGGCCCTGACTGTGCCTCCACGCTCGGCTCACTCCCCCACACTGATTTCTATCGACCGCCACACTGGCCTTCTGTCAGCTCCTTGAAGGCATCACGCTCCAGCTCTCTCACCTGAAACTCCTCTCAGGCTAACTCCCCGTTATCCCTTAGGTCTCAGCTTAGACACCACTTCCTCGGAGAGGGCCCCCAATCACCCAAAGCTGTGCTGGACCCATTTATGGGCCCTTGGTACCCTGTACCTTCCTTCTCACACTTACCTCATTTTTTCTTCACGCTCTGGTTGACTAGAAACTCTGAGAGGGGAGTAAATGTCAGACTCTAAATTCCCACACTTAGAGTCCCAAAACCAAATGAAGAGAACCACATAAGGGCATGAGGTGTTGTTTCCGGTTCCTTAGCCACAGCATTTGGGCTTAAAAGAAGGAAAGATATATTTTATAGATAACAGGGCTGGGGGCTACTTCTTTGCCCCTCCTTTCAGTTTAACACCTGAGTCTCTGTCAGAGAGATGCACTTTGTGTTCTCAGAATAAAGGAACTGAGGCAAATTGAGTGTCTTCTGTGCCAAAGGCATTAGCTACCATCATGAATACTGTCAGTTCCCCTACAGGGTTTCCAAATGTTCCAAATGACTTCAATACTGAGTTAGAGAGCTTCTTTTGATCAAAAACCCCGTAAGAGTGGCTTTAAAAACAAACTCAGTCAACAATGAGTAGAATTGTGAACTAAACATAGAGGGTTCTTGAAAATGAAGGCATCACCTCAGGTCTTGGTATAGAGAGTTAAGACATCCACGGCAATGACTTGAGAACTCTCACAGGACAACATATCCACAGGTATGAAGTGCATATAGTAATTTCTCACTGACCAGAGGGCTAATCTGCTGAAAAAGACTGGGATTGGTAAAAACAAGGTTGGCAGGAAAAGAGGCAATTAAAAGTCCAAGAAGGCATCTGTTTCTGAAACAAGTCGGTTTCATGTGCCAACACCATTCTTGGTTTATAGGGAACTTGAATGTAGCCTGAGGTCTACTGAGCGCGGGGCGGCCCATAGGCCTTCTGAAGTGCAGACCACATCTCTTTCAAGTGTTAGCCCTTACTGGCTTAAATTTCAATGTGCACTCCTTTGATCCCTAAAAAATGCTAGTGTAATGGCCTGGCCTTTTCATGCCTTACTTCAGGGCTCAAGGGCCTGCTTTTTTGGGGGCCTGCTCTTTTCTCTGTATGAAGACAAGAGGCCACAAAAACAGCCCCATCCCCATAATCTTTGTCAGGGGAAGGATGGTCAGCAAATGACTGTTGCCCTGTTCTTTGCTTAACACAACCAGTCATGAGAAGATCATGGGGTTTTAATTTTTGATATTCAAATATAAAACCACATTATCTCTACACTGCAACTGGCAAGGAAATCCACAAATGCCACAAATCCAGAATAAAATGGAATCAGTGTTTGACAGTTAAAGTCTTCCTAAGAAACACGGAATCACAAGTGGAGTGCTTTGAGAATGCCTTCCCCGTATAGACACACATCTGTAAACTCCAGCAACCCAGCCCAGCATCAATGTGCAGGCATGCGCATTTCACTTCTAGGCAGGGTAGAGCAGGCTGGCCCTGGAGTCAGGATGGGAGTTACACCACCACAACTCACCACCTGCTGACCTCAGCTGTATCATCTCTTCAGGGTGCTTGGCACTGGCCTTGCCTGACTCCCAAGGTTGTCAGTGGCTTGAATATGATTCATGTACATGGAAGCACTCAGTACCTGTGGAATGCTGCCCATTCATAAAGGATCATCATCATTATGTTCATTCTGAATTTCCCTGCTAAGTTGACTTGCTGTGTCAAATGGCCTTACACAAAGAATTGACCAGGTCCCGTCCACTTCTGACTTACCTGTGTTATCTCTGGCTACGAGACCCTTAGAAAAATCCCCAGGAGTTGGGGAGGTCCTGCTGTCCCACTTTACCATGTCAAGACTGTTGCAATACTCCCATCTCTTCTGCTGAAGCTCCTGTAACCAGTAAGTCATGAGTTGACGATTAGGAGCCTAGAAAGAGGAAGGGGGGAAAGTGTTATGGCCACTAGCAAGATGAAGAACTTAAAAAATTATGTTTTGTGTGGACAGACTACACCTCGCCAGATGAAAGAGAGAGTTAAGGAGAACAGGTCAAAGAAATTTCAGTCTGAAGATTAGTAGCTTCTGCTCACAACAAGTTGGTCTAGCAAAGAGCAATTCCTCTTAAATTCTAAAATTACAGAATGATACAATATAACATTTTCCTCAAAGGTTTTAGGAAGGCTTGATATTCCTGCTGCCCTTTCACTCTGAGCACCTAGAAATCCCATTTTATGAAATCAAATCTCACATAGGTATGGATGATGTCCTTGCCAAATCACATCAAATAATGGTATTTAAACTCTGTCAGCATCTGGGAGAACGTACAAAGAAAACAGCAGATTAAAAACTAGAGTCCCGCGTCGCTTAATGATGGGTCTACATGGTGAGAAATGCATCATTAGGTGGTGTCGTCATTGTGCAAACATCACAGAGTACTTACAGAAACCTAGATGGTATAACCTACTACACACCTAGGCTCTATGGTACCAATCTTATGGGACCACTGTCATATATGTGGTCCATCATTGTCAGAAATCTTGTTATACAGCATATGATTATACATGGCACATCTACTGTATGGCTAAAATTTTTTAAATTGACAATACCAAGTGCTAGAGAGGGTACAGAGCAACTGGAACCTTCATACATCACTGGTGAGAATGTAAAATGGTGCAGTCTCTGTGGAAAAGAGTTTGACAGTTCCTTATAAAGGTAAACACACACTGACAAAGTGACCTGGCAACCCTACTGCTAGGTATTTGATGTGCCCAAGAGGAATAAAAACATATATTCACACAAAAACCTGTATGCAAATGTTCAAAGGCTTTATTCATAATCACCAAAAACTGAAAACAAGCTAAATGTCCTTCATCTGGTGAACACATAAACAAACTGTGGCACATCCACACAATGCAATACTATTCAGCAATAAAAAAGGGAGCAACCACTGATTTGCACAAAATGGATGAATATTAAATGCATATTATAAAGAAAGAACATGTGAAATAAACCAGACCCAAAAGGCTACATACTGTATGATTCCATTTATGTGACATTCTGAAAAGGCAAAATTACAAGGACAGAAAACAAATCTGTGGTTGCCAGGGATTGGGGGTGAGGGGAGCAGCTGACTACAAAGGGACAGCACAGGAGAACTTCTGGGTAATGAAACTGTTCTGCATCGTGACTGTGGTGGCAGACACTTGATTCTATGCATTTGTCCAAACTCATAGAACTGCATGCCACAGAGAGTGAATTTCACTATATGTACATAAAAAAAGAAAAAAAAAAATCAACCAAGACGCAGAGGGAACCCAAAACAATGAACCTAGCTATAAACAAACCAGATGGTAGGTGTGGGTCATAGGTGTCCAGCTGCCCCAACAGGGGGTGTCCCAAGGAGAAGGATGCCATGGCACGATTATGGGAACCTCATCAACACTGGCATCCTGCAGCTGTGTGTACACATGTCTGAGCAGACATTGGACACAGCGGTTCCCAGGGTCAGAGGCAGTCTGGAAAACTGCTCTGCAAGCCTGACAGCAAGTGACAGGCCTAGAGACCAAACTGCTACTGTCCATAAGCAAAGGACAACCTTTGGGTGCTCTGGCTACAACCTGGAGACTTTTTAGTGACACTTGCCCACATAGCCCCAGGTAAGGAAAACCATCCACTACAGGATCGCTGGGTATTTTACAGAAAATTCTTTCAACTATCAGCCGAGCTATCATTTCATCCATTCATTCAACCAGTACTTACTGATTTTTTTTTTTGTGAGGAGAGCAGCCCTGTGCTAACATCTGCCAATCCTTTTTTTTTTTTTTTTTTTTTTTGCTGAGGAAGACTGGCCCTGGGCTAACATCCATGCCCATCTTCCCCCACTTTATATGGGACGCCGTCACAGCATGGCTTGCCAAGCAGTGCGTCGGTGCACGCCCGGGATCTGAACCGGCAAACCCCGGGCCGCCGCAGGGGAGCGCGCGCACTTAACCGCTTGCGCCACCGGGCCGGCCCCCAACCAGCACTTACTATTAACATTTATCTATCAGGGACCTGGAATTGGGGCTTGGCCTAGTCAGAAACATAGGAAAACAAACCAGAAGTTTCGAGTGTGTTAAGTGCTATGACAGAGGTCAGAGAGGGTGAGGTGGGGCTGGCGTGACTGGAGAGCCCTGATGAAAGACACCTAGCCCAGCAGGGGAGATGGGCAAGGGCCAAGGTACCCAAAGTTTAGGAAACCTGCCACCTGCAGATTCAAAAGGTACACAGGACTGGCTTAATGTCTATCTTCTCCAATAAACATAGACTCCAAGATGTCTCCGTTTTCTAGCACCTAGCTCAGTGCCAGACATACAGGTTTTTGTTGAATAAATAAGCGAAGAAACAAATGAACAAATAATCAGGAGGTGACACAGGAGCTTGGTCTTAAAGGGCAAGCAGGCATTAGCTACAAAAACAAGGCCAAAAGAAGTTCCAGGCAGACAGAAGAGTATGTGTGAAGGTCCAGAGGCAAGAGAGCAGGGGCGAGGGGAGGCTGGGGGGATCGGAGGGAGGTGAGCCTCAGATAGGCAGGGACCAGGCCCGAAGAGACTCATGAGCCTTCCTGGATTCTTAGCAGGGCAATGACATGATTAGACAATGTCACTGCGTTGAAAAGGGGAAGCAGAGTTCAGGTAGGGGAGGAGATTAGCTCAGGCCCAGAAGGGGTGAGCCCTTGAGAGACTCATGGAGCACAGCCTGGAGTCTAAGCAGCAGGTAGGTGGCAGGGTGGATGGTGGGCGCTCGGCTGGGCCCTGGGGCAGGGCAAAGAGAAGCCAGCATTCCAGGAGGAAGGAAGAGGGAAGTGGCCGGGAAAGGAAGGGACTGGAAGACACAACCACAGCCAAAATCCGAGCCTAAAGCCCACCTAGAGCCCCTCCCTCCTTTCACACAGTTCACAGTGCGCCCGCAGTCTCCCGACCCCCAGCTTAGAGGGAAGTGTGTTTGGGTTACAGAAAAAATCTTTTCCCCTTTAAATCTCTGGGTATTAAATCTAACTGAGGAACAATTAGTAACCTCTTAATCATCTCTCACTAAATTCCTGGGGCAAAAAAACCTTTTAGATCACATGCTTTCAACATTCAACATATTATTCATGTTACAGAAATCTGGTCAATAAGGCAAAACTACCTTGCGACAATGATTAACTGGGGCTCGTTTCTTTGTAAAAAATCTAGAAATCACTAAAAGAATCTGACTTCAGTCCTCAAGTGGCTTGACAAAGGCTGCTGTGGGCTGTCTGCACATGGCTCTGGGGCATGTGCCATCATCAGGGAGGCCGAAAAGCCCCAAAAGTCCCTTCTCCCAGGGGGCTGAACCCAACGGCAGAAACGCACACAGGTTATAAGACAGGGCAGGACTCAAAGTAAAACACAGTAAAGTCAGCTGGAATCCAGAAAGCCTGAGTTTTCCAAGTGGTATCTTTTTAACAGAGTCTGAACTGAGATTTGGCCTCGCTCAGTCCCAACTAGACGTAGAATCACAAACTAGTCTCTTCACCCCAGTCAGTTCGACACGTAAAGTTAGTCTGGATCTGCCCTGTCCAACAACACAGTAGCCACTAGACACACGTGGCTATTGAGCACGTGAAGTGTGGCTAGTGCCACATGATGAAATATTTTGGATATATTGGGTTAAATAAAATAGTCTTATTAAAATTAATTTCACCTGTTTAATGTGGGCATTTGAAAAATTTAAAGTAGAAATTATGGCTTATATCATATTTGTATTGAACAGTGCTGGTCTAGATCACAATGGCAAATAAATTCCATTTTGAGAGCCAAGGTTAGTGGGGAACCCATCGGGGTAGGAAATGGCCGGGAGATTAAAACGCAGGCCAAGGGCATGGGGTTCTTAGGGGTGTGGGGCAGCCAACATTATTCCCCTTCCACAGGACTTCATGACTCAAAATAACTTTCTTCTTTAACTAGGCACCTCCATATCTCCGACCACCCATGCTCTGTTAATGCCCCCAGAGATGCCCACATTCTTCTGGCCCAAAAGAATGGGTCTGGCTGGTCTTGCTGATGGCTCACAGTTTCAGTCTCTTTATTACCCCCTCCCAGTGTGGGGCAAGCAGGACCCTCAAATGATCCGGCTTCAGATAGCACCTCACAAGTCTATGACCAGGAGTTCTGTCCATGCAGCTACAGCTCAGCTGGTGACAAAGAGTCGTCAGTGCTGAAGCTTATCGCCACCACACCATATTGCCCAGCACTCACGGGCCAGATGGCTGAGGAGCATGACTGGGAGAGAATCAGTATCTGCCCCACCCTACCCTCAAACGACCATTTAAATGCTTTAATCCCAAATTCTGGAGAGCCAGACAGACATTCCAATCATGCTGGAAGGAGCAGAGACGAGACAAAGCTCCACAGCTCAGCAGAGTGAGAGCTGATGCCAGGCAAGCATCCAGCAGGAGGCCAGGTGTCAGCATCTGCTGCCTGAAGGCTCACTGGGGCCATATTCCGAGTCTCCCATAACACCCATCTCTCCAACTCCTACTCATCCTTCAAAGCCCAATGCAAATGGTACCTCCAGAGGAAGTTTCCCTGACCTGAGCCTGCATACTCTCTCCACTCACAGCACCATGTAGCCCAGGCCAACATCCCATGGGGGTTGGGGTACACCCTGTGTGTTCCTCACTAGTCTAAGGTCCTTGAAGACACAGGCCAGACCCTCTGGCCGCAATATGGTCCAAGCTGCCTAGCACAGGGCCTTGAACACAATTAAGCACTCGAATGTCTGACTCATTCTCTCCTTATGTTCAGCTACTGCTACTGCCTCAAAACTGCTAAAACCCCAGTTCAAATATGGCACCAAGCCAAACATTTTGAAAAGCCATTTTGTTTGTCTCCTACGCAGCTGCATGAAGGTCCTGGGGGGTCAGG